CTAATGCATGGTCTTATTACATTAATGCTGGATTCTCGGGTTGAAGACCTTGAGGAGGGTGAGCAGGTCATCCGATCAGTCAATCTCTTGGTACTCAGAGTTCTTGAAAAGTCTGACCAGACCAACATTTTGAGGTATGTTGTTTTAAAAATAAATAAATAAAAATCGTGACCACTACTCCATCTGTTCTTCTGTGTTCCTTGAATGAATGATTATGTTCATTAGTCATGTTGTAAGCGAAGAATGATGTCAGTAAGATTGTTTAGCTAATTGGTAAAGAATTGTCAGTGGTTATTAGTGGTAATTATGGCTTGTCTGCGTTGTCTCTGCAGTTTAAAGGAAGGCTAAGCAAAACTAGCTTGGTGTGGTTGTATACATTTGGTATTTCAGCAGACTGTCTCTTAATTGCTTCTGAAGTGCTATAAAGAGAAAGCTCTTAAACAGCATCACGTGAACAACTGGAGTAGTCTCTGGTGTAATATTGTGTTGAAAAAGTAGCCATTTTGTGTAGTGCTTTCCCATGTATTTCAACTCTAAACTTAATCCTTCTAGCGCTCTGCTTCTTTTACTTCAAGACAGTCTGCTAGCAACAGCCAGCTCTCCTAAGTTTTCAGAACTTGTCATGAAGGTGAGCCTCTAATAGTGGTTTTGAACTCTGAAATGCCTGGTTATCTGAATCAGCAGCCTAGCTTTAAAGAACAGATAGTTTAAAAAAAAAAAGTGATGATAAATTGAAATATTTATTAAATGTTTAATTCAGTGACTTCGTTCTCTCTACTGAGAGAAAGCTTAAAACCTGCTAGTAGTTTACAGAAGGTCATACATGTATAAACATGTTCCACAAAGGGAGATACAGTCACCTGCTTGACTTACTTTCTTAGGCACACGAGTGTACTGTGCATTCAAACAATCCTAGGCTGAAACTGGCTTATATATCTTACGGCAGCCTTTTATAACTGGCATGATTTAGTGAGAACTTAAGCATTTTTAATAAGGTTAAACCTGGGGGCATTGTGTTGTGCTCAGGTGTACTTGGCATCTTTGCATTATTTGCTGGAATTTCTGCACGCAAACAAACTTCTCTTGTTATTGGTAGCAAAGTCAGTACTACTACATACAGTTTCATGCATCACTTCTAAAGGAAGGTCTGGATAGAGTGCTGCTAATTAAAGAGACCATATGTACCAACAATTTTAACAGACACACAAACTATGTATGTCTATGTAGTAGCAAAGTGAAACAACTCAAAGATAATTTTGTATAATCTGGTCTTAAGTATTTAAATATTTCTTCCTGGAGTTGTCTTGCTTTAAGTCAACCTGTCATTCCAGTGTCTGTGGAGAATGGTGCGTCTTCTGCCAGAAACCATTAACAGCATCAATCTGGATCGGATTCTACTGGATATCCATATTTTCATGAAGGTCTTTCCCAAAGAGAAGCTGAAGCAGTGTAAGAGTGAGTTTCCTATAAGGACATTGAAGACTCTGCTTCACACCCTGTGCAAGCTGAAAGGGCCCAAGGTCAGACCTGGCATCAGTCATGTACTTCTTTAAATTGATTTGTTCACATACTCTACAAAGCTTCTGCCTCTTTTTCTTTAGATCTTAGATCACCTAACGATGATAGAAAACAAAAACGAATCTGAGCTGGAGGCTCACCTGTGTAGAGTAATGAAACATTCCATGGACCAGACTGGAAGCAAAGCTGATAAAGATACAGAAAAAGGGGCTTCTCGCATAGTAAGTAATAGAAATATGTCGTATGGCAATTCATCCAGAAAACAAGCTTCATTTAGTGATGGAGTGAGGATTATTCTTCCCACATGCAGGTGGCATTGTAAATAATCTCCTACTTCCATGGCTGTTTTAGAAATTTGGAGTGTTTCTAGTATTACCTAAATAGTGTGTGTATATGCCAGGGTAAGATGGTCTCTTGAGACATTGGTGTGTGCAGCACAGGCTTTATACTGCTTGCTAATGCACTTCTACTAAGAGTTAACCATAATCAAACCACATCTTAAATGCTGGCCTCTCAGAAGCATGGTTACAGCTTGGTTGTGTCTTTATTCTTCTCTGTAGCTGTGATTATATAAAATTCTTGTAAAAGTTTTCTTTGGTGTTTTTTATTTTTGAAGTTCTGTATCCAGTTAACAAACAGATCTGATGAGGGTATTGTGGCTTTGTCTGAACTTCCCTTCATTTTTAAGAGAAGATTGTATTACCCGCTTTGCTTAGAAATTTCCCTTTATTTGTTTAGGAAGAAAAAGCTTCAAAAGCCAAAGTGAATGATATTTTGGCAGAAATATTTAAGAAGATTGGCTCCAAGGAGAACACTAAGGAGGTAAGCGCTCTCTTCTTGTGAAGGAGAAAGCGTGATGCAGTAGAATAGTGTATGCAGCCTTTGTAGTAATACACAGAAACTCTTCCCTCGCAGGGTTTGGCAGAGCTGTATGAATACAAAAAGAAATATTCTGATGCAGATATTGAGCCCTTCCTGAAAAACTCATCTCAGTTCTTCCAGAGCTATGTGGAAAGAGGCCTCCGGCTGATAGAAACGGAAAGGGAGGGAAAAGGACGCATTGCTTCTTCTACAGGTACATATTACAGCAACAAGATTGATAAGCACTTGCATGTGTCACATTTTAAACATCTCCAGATATGTGTTTTTATGGGATTCCAAAGTAATTCACATATTCTTAGTGCTTGTGTTAAGTATGGTTTGCAGGGTAGAAGTTCTTTGTTTAAGTGAGGAAATATCTGAAAGGTGCAAGTGATTTTAAGTTCTGTCCTGTAGTGTGGGACAAGCATTATCTGTGCTTCATGTTTCTGTTATCAGGAGTTTTTACTTGAAAGTATACAAGCTGTTCTTTGAACAGCAGCAGCTGTCAGGTTTGCTTTTTAACTTTTGCTTGTAAAAACAGCACAGTAGTTTTGTGGGTTTTTTTTGCTAGAGTATTGTTTACTGTGGAATCTAAAAGTTTTTAGGTAATTTGAACTGTTTTTACAGCAGATTTTTGTGATGACCCTGTTCTAGCAAATAATCTTTTATATTGGATAAATGATCATAAAGCATGCTTTAAGTTTAAGTGAGACTTTTCAGTGCAGATAAACATGAATGACTAATGTGATATTAGGGATTATGACAGATGATGAGCACCAGTACAAACTGGTGTACCTTTAATTTCTGTTTTTTTTCAGGTGCTTAACTATGTGCTATGATTACTACTAGCCTTTCTCTTGCTACTGTTTATTCTTCTATCTATATATTGTAAACTACATTCAGAAGAGGGTTTATTTTAGCACCTCTTAAATCTATCTGATTAGATATAAGGCAGAACTTCCTGTTTATCTAAAACTCTGTTCAGCCGAGAAATGTTGATTGAGCAGTAAATGCTTTCAAAATTGGACTTGTGCTCCAGTTTTCTTCCCCCAATTGTAATAGTTGGAGATAATGAAAGATGATCTGTCTTGCAAGCTATACTTAACTGTAATTCTCCTTAAATCTTTTTTAAACACCTTTGCAGTAAACTAATGAACTCAAAACCCTGTTCAAAGTAAGTCTTACAACTTGCCATTCATTTCAGAATGGAAGAAGTTTCTGTCATAATGTATAATCCTTCCCTGGTCTTCTAGCAGAGAAGCTTTGAACACCATGTAACATTCCTTTTGGACATCACTGTTTCAGACTGAACGGGAACTTGCAATGGTTTCAAGTTATCTGAACAAGAAGTAGAGAGGATTTAGAATCGGTGGTGAGGTCTGACTGAGTCCAGAGTGTAATAAAAGATGGAAAGCTCCAAATATTTCCCATCTTGCCAGTGTATTTGTTATGTTCCCTCTGTTGTTTACCTTGGATTTGCATCAGCATCTTTCCACATCCTGTATGTGTATACACATACCCTTTCTTTGCCAACTGTCAGCATCATTGCTACTTCTGGACCTGCTCTACTACTGCTTTATGTCTTTATTTCTTTTATTGTTTTCTTTGAAGGAGTGAAAACTACTTGACAGGCATGAAAGAGCCAATATTCCTATCCTAGCAAATGCACATAATTTGATTGCTTAATTCTTCATCTCTTGTATCTCATTCGAAGCAACTGATTAAGAGGCTTATTTTTGAGGTTTTTAATCTTTTCTTTCCTCTTGTTTTTATTATACTTCTCCTTTCCAGGAATTTCTCCTCAGGTGGAAGAAACATGTGTTCCTGTTTCTACCCACACTGTATCTTCATCTATAGGAAACACAAATGGGGAGGAAGTGGGGCCTTCAGTTTACTTGGAACGATTAAAAATCCTCAGGCAACGTTGTGGCCTTGACAATGCAAAGGTATTGTATTTGGCAACACTTGGAAATCCTGTGGGATTGTACCTCATTTACAGTTTTTTTAATAAGGATTCAAATATTGTCTCTGCTGCGCCTAAGAGAAATTCACATCAGAGTCTAGATTTGCTCTGAGGCTGGAAGTGTCAGGGATATAGCGTGACTTCTTAATGCAAATGGTTGGACTTGTACAGTTCTTTTGTGTTCATACTGACATGAAGTTAATCATCCTCTACTTAAATTATAAGAACTGAGTACTGTAGCTAGCTTTGCATGGTTCTGTCTTTTAATGGTGATCTAGAGCATATTGTTCCTTTCCTTCCTTCTATTTTCAGTGCTTTTTATAAAAATGAAAAGCCATTAACTGTGTCTTGTACTTAAATGACTTTTGTCTGTCTTAACAATTCACTTTTCTTCACCATAGCAAGAAGACAGACCACCTCTGACATCTCTGCTCTCTAAACCAGCAGTCCCTACAGTTGCATCCTCTACTGATATGCTTCATAGTAAGCTCTCCCAGCTCCGTGAGTCACGAGAACAGTACCAACATCTGGATCTGGACTCCAATCAGACTCATTCTTCTGGCATTGGAACTACCACAGCTTCATCCTCTTCTGCAGCAGCTAATATTGATGACTTGAAAAAAAGATTGGAGAGAATAAAAAGCAGTCGCAAATAGAGAGGCAGCGTCACGGTTGCTGTCTTCAGCTTTAGTTTACTAAACTAGAAGTCTTCATAGTTAAATGGCCTCGTTTAGGCCTGATGTATACAAACTGGTTTATGTATAATACAGTGGATTTTGGAGGGACTGGGTCATTGTGGCACAAGTATTTGTACATAATCTGCTTCTCAGTGAGCATCTCTTGACAATAGAAGGCTGTCTGTGTATTAGTTTTAGTGTACAGACCTGTAAACAACCATCCTCTTGCTCAGACTAGTTTCTCATAACCTGTTTTTTTTATTTGTAATATTGTCTTCAAGATCTTTTTTCCTAGTTCTTAACTCTTAGAAAAATCTTCAGTGATTTCACTTTTAATTTTGTGAATTCTTCTCCATGTAATCCTTGAACTGTTGATTCTATATGGACACATGGCATGAAGTAACTAATTTAAGTGTCTTTTGTAAATAAAGTTTGCATTAACTATACCAGTCTTTATAGGAACAGCAGTGACTGCTGGTGAGAGAAGTTGCTGTCTATTCCTGAATGTTAGTGACTGGGCATCTAGAAATTGAACTAAGCTATTCTTGAAATGAACCTAAAGCTTGGATATTTTATAGGGAAGATGAGTGAATATACTATCTCTGGGTTGCAGTCCTGAGACTTTGCACTCTTCTATAAGCAGTAGTGTATTTTTCCATGTAGTTGCTGGTTTTTGTTTTGGACTATGGTTTCCGTAAGTTGCAAGTAAGTCGAGAATATTTAGTTTGCTGACATGCTTATTTTAAATTACTAATCCTTGTATTGCCTCTACCTGGATGAAGCATAGTCCCTTCTGTGTATAAATGCTTTCTCTTTGAGGGAGTGTGCTGCTGTTGATAAGAAATAGATTAGCAGTGATGTACAGTCAGTGGCCTCATTTATCCTGAACTCATTTGATTAAGTGGTCTTCCTAATGGAGTTTTCAAATGCAAGTAGACCACAGCACCATATTCAGTTGCACTTAAACATCTAATGTTAGCAAACCCTCCTGTATTGTATAACTAGAAAACGCCTACTAGTGCTAGTCTTCAAAAGCTGTAGTCAACTGCTTTTTGAGTGAGGAGCGTATTCTGAGTAGCCTTCTTCAGAAGCAGCAAGTATGAAAGCTTAAAGACCTACACTGTGTAGCCTTCCTAGCCCTTTCATCTCTCTCAGGAGGTGATGTTTTCACTTTGTTCCTTCACTGCCATGTGTGAGCTGGTTGTGAAGAATAAATTGCACATCTGTTCCATAGCTAGAACAGAGCTATTGAAGAGTTGGACAGGCAGGCTTAAAGCAGCATTTTGTTACTCTGGGTTCTAATCTTGGCTCCATGTAACTGCTGCTTTTGTTGTTTGCTCTGGGCACCGCGGGAGTCTCAGCATTTGGGCTGTAGCTGAATCAATCTTGCCTGATTACAGTGAAAACTTGGTTTTAAATCAGTATGTGTACAACAGATCAATGCCAGAGCTGCTGCAAATGGCTGCAATTTTCCTTTGGCTGGGGTTACAGTGGATGTGTAATACTGCTTGGTGCTTGTGGTGAGTTTATGCACTGTGATAGCAGGTAACTTGTGAGCAGTCTTCATCCTGTGTTAACTAACATGATGCCCTTCATTGCTTCACCCTGCTTTGATTCAGTAGTTGCGGTCTCCTATGCTGACCTGAAGCGGTCATGCCCTTTTATTAAACAGACCTAAATGGCAAGAGGAAGTTTTGGCCATTGTTGAAAAGTGCAAAAGTTTTGTGCACTTGGGCTATTGGCAAATAGTTGTTTGGATGTCATTGGAGTTACTGCCACTACCTCTAAGTTACCAGCTGCTTTTTGAAACAATTACTAACATATAAATGAATCCATATTTTTATTTACTGTACCATATCTAATAGACATTCTGAAGAGCTGTTTGTTAATTAGTTCAGGATGTTAAAGCGGCAATGCCTGCGAACTTGCATACTACTATTTTAAACAACTATTTTAGACTTTAAACTGATTTGGAAGTGAAGTACAGGAATAATGAGTAGAAGAAGATATAGTTGTTTACTATGAATGAGTTTTTTGCCCTGTGTCTTTGTAGTGTTTGGTTGGACTCAATATCCTGGGAGTTCTAAACTAAAACTTGTGCACATAAATTAATAAAGCCTAATCTTTAGCCCAGAAAAATATTTAAATAATATTAAACTGAATTTTAAAAATGATTCCTCTGTATTGTTTGTAATAAGTCTGCATTAACAGTGACTTACTCCAGAAGTTGTATGATCCTGATTCTCCATAAGTCCTCCAGGTTTCTCTCAAATTATAGTTCTGAATAGGATGAGGCTATAAAATTTGAGCATTAGGAGGATTTTCATTTTTCAATGCCTGTGGTTATCAATGACTTGAAACAGTTGTGGAACTTGAGCATTTGAGGTTGGTTTTCTCAGATACCTTTGAGAGGTTGTTTTCGTACTTTCTTGGGCAATCAAAATGGGCTGTCCTCAGTTGATTCCTAAATAAGCCAATTTCAGTGAGGTAGCAAAACACAGTAACTGATTGATAACTTCATTTATTTCCAACAAATTTTGGATAGTTGTCTCTATCATCTTTTTTCCAAGCCATTCTCTGTCTTTAATACTCCATTTGAAGCAGAAGCAACTTTATCTATTGCCTGTTTCTGTAACTTGATGGCACTGTGAAGGATGAGGGATTTGAGAATTTGAGAATATGATGTTTTGGGGAGCAAAGATAGCTTCCAAATCCCTCATTACTTCGAGAGAAAATTGGTCTGAACAGATTGGCTAGTCTATATAATACGTTTACTACTGTACTTCTTTCATGAACGCTGGAGCAAAGACACAGAAGTGGGGCTTCTTTTAAGGAGGGATCCTAAACAGTTTTATAGGAACAAAATAGGTACAGTGCCAGATGCTGCCTTTGGAAGACCTTAGAAAATTGTGTGTGTAGAAATTGTTTCCTTCTGAATCTAGTTAAGCCAGCGGAAAATATACTTCCAGGTCCCAGCAGTATTTGCCATATAGAAAGTTACTGCTATGCAGAAATGCATGTGTTACTTCATCTGTTCAAACCCCTGTTTCTGTACATCATTAGTTACACGTAGATGACTCTTTAACTTAAGACACTAACTTTATAAGGAGCAGTGCTGGTATTTTGTTGCTACTGTTGTGGCTGAGAACAATGTCTGCCTTAGCAACAAAGGCTATAGTTGCTTTATTCTCGAAGTGGCATTTTGAATAATGCTACAGTTCCTGTAAGGTGTAGATATCTCCAGTTTGTTATTTCAGATTTCTAGAACAGAAAATGAGTTCAACTGAAGGGGGGAATGGACAGCGGGAGGTCTTGCTTACTGTGACTTAAGTCCATCATCTGAAGTCTGAAATCTGTTGATTGTTACTGCTGATAGAGTGGAGAACATCTGAAGGGCAACATCTTAACTAGCGGTACTGCTGGTGCTGTTGTGTTGGTGCTCCTAGCTATTGTGCTGGCATGGATTCAGGTGCTGTTCAGCTTAGCATGAACACGAGGAAGAAGATAGTTGAGAATTTTTATTTTCAAGGAGGAACACGTTCCTTTGTCAAGTTGCAGGGATTTAACTCCTCTTTCAAGATTTTTCAATGTGTATGTTTTTAAGAAGTGGAATATTGTAACAGAACTGAGAACAAGCAAGGGAAGCTCTTCTATCCTTGTTTTTCAATGGTTTTTCGCATCCATTTTTTCAGGCGGAATACGTGAGTATAAAATCCATATTTGCCATCTCGGTCACAGCCTTCTCCCCATGAAACTATTCCCACTTGATACCAACGGTTGTCATCTGGGTTCTAAAGCAAAGAAAAATAATTAGCACAAGAACAAGAGATGTTCAGATCTAGGACTTGTTTGTGCCACAGCCTTTTTACATCATGGATGCCGCTTCAGAATTGAAACTCATGTCTACTAGATAACAGAGCTTGTTGGCATAACTTTGTCTTCAGTCTTAAACCTCTAAGTGGGAATTGGCCGTTGCTTAGAAATTCTGCAGCTGATCTGTGTTTGCAGGAAACTTAGTAAAGAAATTGAGCTAGATGACTGCAGGATGCATCTTATTGGATCAGCTCGGATTTCAGATGAATTTGCTTCAGCCACTCAGCAGTTTTCATCTCTGCTGCTGTTTTTTTCAGGCGATTATACAACTTCAGCATCACACAAACCCAGCTCTGTGTCTTTGAGCTTGTTGAACATACCTTCATCACAAAAGGCCCCCCACTGTCCCCTTCACAAGCATCTCCTCTCTTTGAGTCTTCAGGACTGTAACCTACAGGCAAGAGGAAAGTTAGGCATTTGACTTAGGAGAGTGGTGGTCATCTTTTCCTTGAAGCATTGCTTCATAGTGTCTCAGAGCCCCTGCTCACTCACTGCTTACTTCTACAAACATTGGACTTAAAAATAAATGATTTTTTTATTTTTTTTTTGTAACAGCTATCTCTGCTGTCTGTGCAACATTACTGATTTTGCTGTACTCTGCCACCCTGTGCTCTCATTCCTGTTTCTTATCAGAATTGCTATTGGTCAGCTGCTGTTTGCACCTATAGCTTGAGCTGCTGTGCCTTTGTTTACAGACTTCATTGTGTGCAAGTTCCATGCATTCTGTTTTTTCATTGTATTGACTAGAGAAAAATGATCTTCCTCATTTTTACTTGCGTGTCTTTCTGTAGACTCTGCTCTTTGTCCAGCTGGATGTTTATTTTAGACTTGCTGTAAAGACAGGTTTCATTGTCGCATCTGATGAACACATGCGTTCTTCCTGTCGTGCAAGATTCCTTTTTGCTGCTGTATGTCTGCATCTCAGCTATTTTTTCAAAAATGCTTTTTTAGAAGAAGAAACAATAGGAACACTGTATTGCTGGAGTGCTCATTAAATTGGCTTCTATCCTGTCTCAAGCATGTTGTTAGATACAAACAGCACAGACTCAGCCTAATAGTTGTTGACTGCAGGAATTAAGAATACAGCAATAGCAAGAATAATTAATTAGCACATAAATCTCTAGTGTGTTTATATCTTGAACGCTGTCTCTTCTCTCTCAAAGAGTGTTAGAGGAGGTTTAAGAAGGTGCAATACAGATCACCAGAAGTACAGAATGTCTTCTATAGTAGGAAAAAAATGAAAAGTGCTTCTCAGCTTGAAAGAGAAATTGCAAAGCTATCAGAGATCCATAAAATAGCCTGTAACACCAAGAAATATTAAGTTATTAATAGATTCATTCTAATTTGTTGGTCAGAACATTGGGAATTACTTTATCCACACATGCTGTAATTAATCTGAGGGAATCTGTTCCCATAGAAGTTGTGGCATAAGATTAAACAAGAGTTCAAACAGTTGAGACAAGTTAATAAAGAATGGATTGTTTGTCTACTGAGTATTAGAATAGCTGGTTTGCAGTCAGTGTAGAAAGCTGCTGAACTGCTTCTTATGCTGGTGAAAAGATTGTATTATGAGCACAGTTCTCACACAGCTGTTGCTGATAATTAGTGGAATTGTTCTGTTAGGCTACTTAGCCTGACAGGGTAGTGTTAAAACCTTGTGCCTAGATTCTCCTGCCTTTGTGTTTTCTGAAAGCTGAGTTACTGTCATGGGAAAGTTTTCCTTTAGGAGGGCGTTTGCAAGTTTATTGGAAGGTAACTTTGTAGCACGAGTTTCATGAGGAGTCCAGACCCCCTGTCTTCAATGGCAAGCTTTAACCTTATGTATCCAGGTGTACTTACCAGCGCAGAACATATTGTCAGTAACTTTAACCCTGGTGGATGCCTTGCAGGTGTTTTGGTCTACAATAGGTAGATTGAGCTGTTGCAGAACTGTTGGCAGGTTTTCTGGGGTAGTGGCCCATGTTTCTTTCAGATTTCCCCAGCCAGTTACCCGCCCTTTGAAACCTGCCAGCATCAACCTGTGGAAAGAAATAAGATTATAACATATATATCTTGTAACAGCTTTCTGTTGCCAGACTCTTTCACTGTAAATAGCCTAAACAGGCATCTTTCTTATCTTCCACGATGGCCTGAAGGATGTTGTAGTCTGTATTTCTGAGACTGAGGGAACAGCCACCTCACCTCTGCACAAGCTCCTTGGTAGGCAAGCAGACAGGATGGATGTAGTCGCTGAAGATGACCGGTCGCTTCAGGTGCAGGAGTGCAATATCTCGGTCCATGTTCTCTTTCCAGTTGTACTTGGGATGGATGATGATTTTATCCAACAGAACAATTTTCTCTTTATTCTTTTCATATCTGAAATAGATGTAAGGGAAAGAACTCACTGTACAGTAGCAAGTGAGAGTCTCTGGGGGTGACGATTTTCTCAGGTGCTTTGTCCCCTCTTGATGATGGAGTGCAGCTTTTAAACTTTCCATGGTTCTGTCCTTCCCACTTCAACCTTTAGGATCAGCAAGCACAGCAAATATAGCTCCATTAAATCACACTACTGGGAGGCCTTTGCCATTAGTTTGCATATTTCTGTATACTTCCTTGGATGCTGATTTTTATCCAAACCTCATTATATCTCACTACTTCAAGGGCAAAGCTAGTTCACTCTTTCTAGGCTCTTACTTTGCCCTGAAATGCTTGCCAATCCGCACCAAAATGTCATTTGTAGTCAAGTTCTTCTCCCAAGGTGGATAAAGAAGGCAATGAGCAGCAGTCAAGACCCAGCTGTTACTGATGAGGCTGGCACCACACAGCAGCTCTTGAGGACTCTTTTTGTAGAGCATCACCTGCCTTAGACACAAGGAAAGAGGAAAGCTTAGGATTGAAGTCTTTGCTGGATGTGTGTGTCTTGGTGTTATGCAGGGAGAGCGGGATTTGCAGTAAGCATGGAAGCACATTGTGCTGTATTGATAAAAAGACAGATGGCTTTATTGAAAATATATCTATTCTGGAGATGTGTAACTTACGTAATGGACAATTTGCCTTATTTCCTTCATTTGCAAAAATTTCTTATCCTGTCTGTTCCAGCAAAGCTGGAACCACGAGCCCCACCAGCACTCTTGCTTTCCCTGATGCCTGTATATTTAGCTCAAGAGGAGGAAAGTTTATTTCCAGCTATTTTTCTACTGCCTTGTCAACCACTTGGAGAATCTGTGATTAGAAATGATACCAGCTAGATGCTAACTGGCAGATTGCCCTTTTATTTCCCCCTGTGTGAAGGGAGCGGGAAGGGTAGAGAAGGGAGAGAATACTTACCAGGGGGCACTTCCAACTTCTGCATCATTCCCATGTACAACTCTGCCTCCCATGTAGGAGTCCATCAGCTCCTTCTCACTTTGATCTGTTATCTGTTTCTTTTCGAATAAAGGGCGAGTGCCACAGTCTGAAAAATAGGCAGTCTGTTTTCATTACTCTGCCTGCTTCACAGCAGCACAGTTTTATCTGAAGTCAGCATGCTAAGTTGGAAGACCCTAGGGAGAGAGTGCCCGTTAGCTCCATAATTCAACTAGAGTTTGACATCTGCTGCACCTTCAGGGAATTCAAGTGTCTCCCATCCCTGCTTTTGGCAGCTGTTGGTAAGCTGGTATTTCAGAGGCACAGTGGAATGCTCCGGCAGAAGAAACTGCAAATTCTCTTCTCTACATACTTTTTGCTCACCTGCTTCGCCTTCACCAAAAGTTTTTTCGTCGAAGAAGGTTTTGAACTCTTGAAAGACAGTACGTCCCGATATTCCCTCCAGCTGTTCATTCTCATCCTCTAGCGAGCTGTCTGAGAGAGACAAAAAGATGGGCGTGGTAAAAAGCCTACTGCTGCAGTTTCTACATTTAAGTCAGTGTAGATGTTCATTTCCACACAGTAGGAGCAATGAAGGAATGGCTGCTACTTTTCATGTTTGTTGTCCATCAGTATGAGGCTTTAGAGAGAAAAGTACACCTGAGAGTGGTAATGGCTCTATATACAGGTACGGTAGGTTAGTACATGTGCTATTTGGACAACTAGGACTTTCACATGCATTGGCTCATACTAATCTAGTCATGTTTTGTTGTTTTGGTTGTTTTGTTTGTTTTTCTCTTCCCTGATAAGTGTGCCTACTCAAACCAATAAAGGCATCTTACCGCAGTAATGCAGGTCACAGTATTCAAAGTATGGTGGTTCATCTATTACACACCAGACACCCTCATCATCTGCATCAGGGTTCCGACAGTAATTCTCCAGCAGCTTCACCTCTGGATTAATGGTTTTGTCTTGGAGCACTGCTTTGGCCTTCTCTGAGGCCCATGGCAGGCACCTAGCCCCAGACACAGTGACTGAAAGCGTCCCTGTGTAAAGCATGCCTTTCTCTGATTCACAAGGCTGTGCTGTGGTTGATGGTGTGACCCGTGGAGTGAACTCGACTGTTGTCCTTTCTTGACCTGAAAAGGCAGAAAGCTGTGATTTAATCCATAGCTTTGTCTTAGAAAAAATTTACTGTTAGCAAATAGTACTAGAGCCAGTTTGTTAAAGCACAGAGTTCCATGGGGCATCCATTTATATTTGAGAGCTTCTGCTATGCTACCTCATGAGTGGTGACCCTCAAAGTTGTAGTGCCAGATACTATTTCTGGTATGGGAATGTGTGTGTAACTCAGTGATGTTTCTTTCCCGTCCTCTTAATTTTTAAGACGTGGGTCCTCTATTCTACGTGTCCTCTATTGCATAAGTACCCTCCTCACTAATTCTTTTCCCTTTCTTAGGGTCAGTCTTACTGTTAAGCTCCTTGCTGGTGAAAAGCTGGGATGTAGTGCCGAGACATACCACATACTGGAATGGGGCACTCCTCCCGTTCCACTGTTGGGTCTCGTGTGTAGCACCATGGACCTTTTGGGTTGTTGTCTGGGTTTCTGCAGTAGTTCTCAGTGAGGTTACGATAATTGGAGGCATTAAATCTGTGAGGAAAGGGTGTTTAGGCTAGGAAGGAAAGACACCCTGGAGAACCCTTTAGGGGAAAGCAAGAGATGAACTCACTTAGGTATATGTGGATATTTGCTTGTCCACGCTTGACATTCAATGCCTGATTTGGTGTAGTTAATTGTCCCTCGATAGTTCTGGCCCAGATTAACAGCACAGTTACCTGTCAAAATCCCCAAACAGGTGAGCCTGAGTTGGTGGAAATGGATGTAACATTTTTCAAGGTCAGAAGTACCACAGGTGCCTTTAACTTTTCGAACATGTGTGAGCCTGCACAAGCATAGGTATTCTTTTTATAAAATGGGAAGAGCACATCGCTTGAACTTGCTTTGCCTCATCAGAGACAGCTCTCCTTGAGGCTCTGTGCTTTGCTGTAAGGCATAGGCCAGAGCAGTACTGAGATCAGTCTAACCCAGAGCTATACTTAAGGCTGTGTTACTTTGTCACGGGGAAAAGGGTATCTACTCTATGCCATTTCAATGGAGCAGTTAGGTAGTTTGTAAAATGGATAGTGGGGAAATAAAGAGGAAGAAAGAAATTTAAAACTCCCTTCATGATATTTTTCGTTCTAATTAGATGACCTTGCCAATTTCAGATTTTTTTTTCCTTCCAAAATCTGCAGGAAGCAAATTCCTGGCATTCAATGTATCTGGGAGCTTAAGTTCTACGTGAATTTCTTACCTTCTAGACAAGCATCCAGAGTTGTCCTAGGCATTTTTATGCCCTGACATACTTGCAAAATAAGAAGAAAGAAGCACGTTATATGAAAGAATCTAAATAAGCGTCATGGTTTGAACCAGTTTATCATTTAGGGACAAAACACAAGAGTTTTTTCCTTGGAGAGTAAGCTCTCTTCAGAGGGTGGGGAGCCATTTCTCCAGGAAGAGTTACTGAGAAACTTGAAGCAACCTACCTTGGTATTTTGCCCAAAATGCTTCCTGTAAAAACAAACAAGAAAGAAAAAAAAAAACCACCATAAATATCAAGAAGTAGAGATGCAGTATACCAGACCTTGGCTGCTGCAATTCAAACAAGCAGAATGCCTCAATGCAGCAAATGGAGCAAACTAAACTAGATCTGTTTGTATTAAATACCAGGGAATCTAACAAAGCAGAAACTCTGATATAAAACCACATTGCCACTCATCAGACTCAGAATTCAAGTCATTTTTCAGCTCTGCTCTGATAAGCAAGTTTTTTTTTGCTTTGCTTTGCCTTATGTCCCATGCCAGTAAAACAAAATACCATAATACAGCAAAGATCCTGTGACAAATTAACCTAATGTCTGCAGGTTTCTGCACCATCCTCTGAAGGTCATTTTGATTGTTAATCTGTGCTGAGCTTCCACATTGGCTTTGTCTTCTCTATATTGAACTAGAACAGGCAGGATGCACCAATGGTTTTTACTTCTAACAAACGTGGAGATGCAAACACAGACATTGGTTATGTGCAGAAACATTTGCTGTCCTTGTTCAGCTGTTAATCAGGTAATTGATCATCTCCAGGAGAGACTCAGGCTACTTGCTGTGGATTTGCAACTAATGAGACTAACAGAGGGGACTACAATCACTTCTAAAAAAACACCAGAGATGCCTACAGCAGTTCTTCCTCATCAACCTGCAGAGGAAGTACTGCAGCACGGAAGTCCAAAGAATTTAACCTGGAATTTCTAAAGGTCATACGCAAGTATTGCTCATTTCCTCACATCTGCATCTCTCCTGTGCAGCCTGAGAGTGATTGCTTTAAAAATAGTTTCTAGAGCTTTTATCATTCTGGCTTAAGCTTCTGACTGGTAATGTTTATTATTTTATACTCAGGTGTGGAATTATCACTGATACTGGCCTCGGGGCTAGGAGTATTTTACAGCAGGATGGAGAAAAAAATAAATAAATAAATAAATAAATCAGCTGAATGAGTGAGTCTGGAAGCCAGAAAATGGATACACTGTGCCAGAGTTTCATCTAAAGGGGCTGGAGGCATCTGCGCTCAGAATTAGTTTGCTAAGTCAGCTGTTCTTTGAGTGTCTGAGACTGCGGCTATTCAAATGTGTGTGGCACCATACTGAACTAGATGAAGATGAAATTCTTATGTAGTGGTTGAGGAAAGGCTCTCTTTTATTTCACTTCACGCTTGAAATAGAGAGAGAGGAAAAAGAATTTGAGATTTGCGGTGCATTTCCAGGAGTGGCTCTAGGAGGGAATTTCCCTAAGGATACCTAGTCTCTCCCTGGGTGACAGGCACGATAGATTTGCCTTGGTAGCACAAAGTTGTGTGTTAAGACCCCAGCCCCTGGCTGTGTGTGACCCACAGGTCTCACTGCAGGAGCTGGCTGCAGGACACCGATGTGGCCTGTGACGTACCGTGTCAACAGTGGATTCAAGGGCTTCAAAGGCCTCCTCGTAATTGCATATCTCCTCCAGGCACTCTCGCTCCAGGTTTCCTTTCATCATCTCTTCCAGAAATCCCTTGTTGGCACGTCGTGGACGCTTGAGCAGTGACAGTGCCTGCCCCTTTTCCAGGAAAACTACCGAGTCAGAACACTGCCAGTCAAAGGGATGCTCATGGTGGGAGGGTCCCTGTGTCTCCTCTTGAAGTTTTCACTCAGCTGGTGTAATGCTCCCACAGCCCAGCCTCCCCCGTTCACCGTACAGAGAAGGGAAGCCTTGTCAAGGACCTGTGAGGTCCACAGCTGATGAGCACAGCAGTCTCACTATAATTCATCTGCCAGGACTGGCTTTGTCCAGGTTACAGAAGTGACAGTAATCTTCTGCTATCCTTGGCAAAGCTGCTCTGCTAATTTACTTGTTTGCTTGGAGCTTGCTACTGCTGTCTGCCAACCACTGAATTGCTGTCTTGCCAATTTCAGGCTACTGCAATAGGCATAGGTAAATTCCATCTTCATCTTCGCAGGCCCTGATCTGAGACCTATGACAGGTCTTGCCCCATACAACAGTGGGTTAGAAAGGACCTGAACTCATATTAAGAATAAGTAGATGAAGTAGAGGCTCTAGTAAAAGGAAAGGAGCAGCAAGCAGGAAGGCTGCGTACCGTATATGACCTAAACTTTAGATAAAGGATAGCTGGAGAGGCAATGCAAAGTTGCAGCCAGTGGGGTCAGCTAAGGAACTAACAAGACCCACAGTTGTGCTACACAGGTTCTTGTTCTGAGCCACATTCTCCTTCTCCACCATCAGTCAGGTGACCTGTGAAATCCACTGAGCTGTTGTCACCAGCTTTCCCTGCCAGCTGCTGGGTGCTGCTGCATCCTTCTGGGCAGGGAAGCAATATGCTCACTCCGCTCTCTGCACCCTTTCGCTCCCAGCTACAGGCTTTTAGAATCTCCTTCTGCATTACCTGGAAAACCTTCCACAGGCTTTACCACTGAAGGACTTAAGCCCATCCTCCTTCCTTAATCACCCACTGGTACTGCCCATCTCCCTGTGTTCTTACCTCCGTCATGGCTCAAGATGGGGTGCAGAAGGCTGAAAAGGAGCAGGCCCTGCAGCATAGTGGTTTTGCTGTGTGCCATGCTGTACAGCCCTGGCTGCAGAGGAAATGCAAAGGAAGCAGAATAAGCGGAGTCACAGCCCGCCTGGGTTAATATTAAACCAGGATGAAGAAATAGGACTCCAGAGGTCATGGTGTGTCAGGGACAGCGGGACTGAGGCTCCTCTTATCCCTTTTCTCTTGGCATCTTTCCCTCCCTTTGGGGCATTTTCATTTTCATACTTAATTAGTAGAAACCAAACCAAATGCCTTTGGATGTCCCACCACACTCTGGACTAAAATTAGCATCCCACTGTATAACATGGCATAAGGATTAAGAGGATAAGTTTGTCCCAGGGCATAGGGAGGGCTTGGGCCAGCAGAGGAGTCTCTGCCAGCTGCCCCGACCCAAGCAGCTCACTACTGCTCCCTGTGTCAACCTGCTCTCCCGCAGCTCTTGGCATGACTGCTGCCTCCCCATCATGCTGGCTTGGTTCCCTGCTGCAAGATCTTCTTGGATGCTGTACTCTTGCAGCGACCTCCTTAGCCATTCCCAGTCCTCCTCTTGTTTTTTGTTGAAAGTTCCATCCCTTTTCCACTTGGAGTCCAGTTGTCTTCTCTCCCCACAGTTATCAGCAGGCTCAGTCTGGTACTTTGGCACCAGAACAAAATTTGAGTTTCTTCCATCTCCCTCACCCGTGCAAAGTAGCAGAAGAGGTGTTGGCTGCAGTCTCTGTGGATTTTCAATTTTCCTCTCAGTTAGGTCAGCAATGCCATTCTCAGTGGATACTTCCCATGGCGATATAATTCCCAGTGGGGTGGAGGAGGGTGAAGCAGTTTGAAGTCTGGTCTCTCCCTTCTCTTCCCACGCCAGTGAAACATATTAAAGTACATCCAGAAGGAAACAGAAACTCTGCCAAGCAAGCAGCAAGCAGCAAGCACGCCAGAAACAGGCAGAAAAACAAGGGCTTGCGGGAACAGGAAGGCAGGAGTGATACGGGTGCCACAACATCAGCTAACAAGCAAGTTAAGAACTGAACTAACAGGGCTGGGAATGCTGTAATGATTCCTACATGCAGAAAGTTGGAATGGTGAGAAAACAGCAGAAAACAAGGCAGGGTTGGAGCAGGCTCAGAAACTGCCAAAGGGCATAAAAGTGTTTTCTTCCAGCAGAGAGCATGTTTTGTGCTGTGCCTCCGTGCAGCAGATACAACTGTAATGTTTACCTCCATAGAAGGAGTGCAAATATTAGCATTAGGGTGGCTCAGGAATGACTCTGTGGCCACTGGTACAAAGAGCAGTTGCAGAGGCTCCCGCCCTCATCTAACAGGAATATCCCTACTCTCACCCACCACGCCTGGATTTTGGAAAGGCACCTTTGGGAAAAGCCAGATTGACCTGGGTGTGTGTGCATAAGATTAGCCACATCCCTAGAAACACCCCGGGTTACTTAGCAGAAGGGATTTGACATTTAGAAGCATACAGGCAGGGCCTGCATTGATGCTGGGATGGGAATAAGGTATCAGTGCACCAACAAGGGTGTGAGAAAAGGTGAAATCGAACTCTCTGCTGTCCCACACAGAAGTCACTAAATCTCTTCACTGTGTGAGGAGACAAAAACAGGCACACATTTCTGTAAGCTCAGCCGGCAACCAGAGGGACTTGCTCAGCTGACAAAATTGTGAAGGATAACAGTAAAGCCAGTTTCTTTACTTTCTGTTTGATAATTTGAATTTGGTTTCACATGCAGTTGGGACAAGTGACATTAGAGTTGCTTTCACCAGAGCATTACTGAGCAAGCCCATGTGGATGTGAGTATCACCCACACCCTTTGGTCAAAGTGATGAATGATGGATACACACGTGCTTGTGCAAGTGTTCATTGTGGATCCCAGTAAGAAAGGCAACCACAGTTCATAAGGCATTCATTAAAATGCCATTTGCTGGAGATAGGATTAGAAGGCAAAGGGGTATAGCAATAGATAATTTTGGTTTCTTTCAGATGCTGGCATTTTTTGCCACTTTCAGCCATGATTTGCCAAATCATTTTGCCGTGATTTGGTCGTCATCTCACACTAAGGTCATATGATGAGGTTGTCCAGGAGGAATTATGTTTGTGCATAATTAATTGTCCCATCTCCGGGATCCCAGGTTTTGTCCTGTTCCTGCTGGCTATAGACAGCACACTGCCTACAGAGCACAGCAAGCTACACAGCACAGCAGCAAGCAGCATGCTCCTTCACCTGTATTTCTTGCTGCTGGGATACCCACACTTGTTCTTTCTGTATCTTTCATATTTCTACATTCATACAAGAGAATAATAGTCTATTTTATCTCTTGTATCAGATCAAAACATTCCAACACTCTTTTCAAGCACATTTGTAATAAGTACAAACAATGAATTCTCATTTAACTTTTCTCACCCCCTCCTTTAGGAGAAAACTTAATATTTCAGCTGGGGTGGGACTTTCAAATAACTCCTGATTCTCCCGGATCATCAGAAAAGTCACCTGGGCTAAACACCACGTCACTGTTTCCTTTGTCTGAAAATGGGGTGAGGCAGGAATCTGTTCTTTTCCTCACGTATCCTTCCAGTAAGGCATTTCTCACTGGGATCTTGCTGACAACACAAAATGTAGCACAGGTGTTCATTATGGATCCCAGTAAGAAAGGCACTCAGACTCCATAATGTATTAATTAAAAGACAATTTATTGGAGATAATATGAGAAAGGGGATAGTAAGAGACAATCTTACATCTGTGCAGATGTTGTGAACCCCAGGCTGTACAGAGTCAACCAGATGTCCAGTCGAGCCATGGCATGCTGCACAGATCCCATCCATGTTGAGGTTCCACCAGCATCACAGTGTTCAGGGTTTTGATAGGATTTCCTTAGAAGTAAATAAGTCTATTCATCATTTTTATTGTCAAACAAAAGGATGTTCACGTGAGAACATGCTGCTTCTATGACGAAGACAGGGACATGGTGGTGGCATCATCACAAGGTGCCCAGGGGGAGCCACCTACAGGCTCCTTAGGCTTAGTCCACTACATGCAGCATAGCACAGGCCTGCACATACATAGTCAGATCAAGCATTAGGTGAATCATTTATACAACAGTGTTCCTCTCATGACCACTTCATAACTGCTCCCATTTGTTCTCTCCAATTACTTCAGAATAAAGAAAGGTGTTAGAGGTCAGTAGATCAAGCAATAGGAGGCTGGCTACTCCCTTTCCCTTCCCTCTGCTCCTCCCCCATCTCTCCCAGCTGTGCTGTGACAGAGGGCGCATGCTTCAAACGCAACATGTAAGCCCAGCTCCATCGAGAACACTTTGCAGCTGTGTCAATATTTGGAAAATGCAAGAGCTTGGATATGCAGCAAAGGGAGAGCAGTAGAAAGCATGCAGCTTCAACTGTCTTCCCTCATACACCGTGCTTCCACTGGTCCATCTTCAAGAGCTCAGGATAAAGACTAGAGTCACCTGCCTCTGACTTGAAAGAAAATAACTGAAAATAAGTAGACTTAACTGTTCATGAGCTGAATTCACCTGCTGCCCTTATCTCAAATCAAGGTGTTGTGGATGCGACTAACAGCTTGTCTACAAACTAGTCATAAATGTTCATGGAGAAAAAGAAAAAGAACATCTGACATCTCAGACTTCCACATTACTGCCTTTGTAGCACCCCAAAAGGGAGCAGTGCTATCGATGGTTCTCAGGTGACACTATACCCTTCTGTTGTACAGTGGACATTAAAAGCTCACAGCATGTAGGCCTCCAAACAAAGCCTTCTGGGGAAATGTAGCTGTTGCAGAGGGGCAGAATGAAGATTGAGGCTAAACCTGTGGAAGCAGTAAAAGAAAGCAGTGTTTGTGCTACATATGAAATGCAAGTGTGGGGCAGGCAAGTCTGAAAGACTCTGTTAGGGCTGGTATTGTTGATCTCCTCCTGTGAGGCCTTTGGAAATACGCACTTTCTTCCTGACAAGGCATCAATTTTATTCAGCACATCTCAAATGGCAAATGATCACTAAAGAAGATAGAGCAGTGGGAATACCTGGGGTGCAGTGGTGGTTGTGCCATCTGAAGGCTTTTTGATGGAGGAGCAGAAAAGAGGAAGAGAGGAAGCAAGAACATCAGATAAAGCATCAGGAGAAAGGAGGAGAGAGGCAAAAATCTTCTGAGCATACTGAAATGAACTGTAAATCCTTACCTGGACAGGTAAGGAACTTCTCAGCTGGGGACAGTGAAAATTCACTGTACAGTGCTACTAGTAGTGTAAGAAATGAAAGCAACTTTTATTGTTCTCAGACAGACCAACCAGCACCAGAAAGCCAGGAAGGAGACAGCAAACAAAACAGGCAAAAGCGGAAAAATAACACTCAACCCCAGCAATAAAGCACAACTTTGCTTCAGCTAATTGTGAAAAATACTTTTTAAAAAGTCTTATAAACACTTGGGAAGCTGCTTCCCTGCAACGTCTCCCACTAGCGTCACCCTCAAATGGTCAGAAGTGCTACTGGCCTCCTGAGTAATAGCCCAGAGAAGTGCTTGCACATATTAAGAAGGAAAACCTTGAAAGGAAGGAATTGTTTAGGGATGCTTTTAAACTTTTCCCTATGGTGCATGGTCACCCACTGGCACTTTAATAGGCAGAGGGAGGGTACTGCTCATGGAAACTCCAGGTTTCCTCTCTAAGAAGTTATTCTTATCAACATTCCCTGCACCAGAACCACAAGGCAACACACGTAGGCTCACACAGCTCCACAGAGCAGCTAGAAAAAGACCCAGGTCTACATCAGCAGTTACCTCTGAGGCTGCTAATTCTTTTGGGGTCTGAGCCACAGAGCCTTGTTGACACAGAGACACTAAAGAGCTCATTTTTTGTTTTGTTCTGTTTTTTTTTAACCCCATTTTAATATTCTGTACAGAAGAACAGCCAGGGTCAGCTGAGGTAGTTACACTCGTCTCAACCTTCACTTCTGCCACTGCTCCAAAATCCATCCCCTCCTGGATGATGATCACATCACTCAGTGAACCCTTGTCCTGCACAATAATGCAATGTCCTTATGCTTGGAGATGGTGATTTCAGTTATGTCCTTTGTTGATGGCAGCTCAGCAGCCCTCCTTCTAGGATCTGGTGGGCTGCTTCGAGGCTGGTAAGCAGCAGTGCAGTGACCACTGGCTGTGATCAGCAACTGTGTCTTATTTTCTGGCCCTGGCACCTCCAGCATAAGCAAGGCAGGCTCTGCCACAGCCTCCTCGTGGGAGGGGCTCTTCCTCTGAGGCTGGAGTAGGTCAACAGCAAGAGACGCCTCTGCAGTACTCATTTCCTCAGGATCCTTTTTGGCCTGGTGGGTGAGCATGTGGCGTGCAAGACTCTGTGGAAGGGTGAAGCCCATGTCACACAGCTCGCATCTGTAGGGCTTGTCAGCCAGGTGGCATTGCTGGTGTCCAGGGTGCAGGACTTGCCGCACTGCTCACAGTGGAAAGGGTGTTTGCCTGTGTGCAGGTGCTCGTGGGGGTCTTGCAGTGCCTTGCTGCACACTGCACACAGGGTGAGCCTTGCTCGTGTGGGAGATAAGACAGCACCACAGCTCTGGCAGTTTGGGGAAGGCGTCACTGCAGAAAAGGCACTTGTGGGGCTTCTTGCCCGTGTGCAACTGGAGGTGCTCACGCAGGTTGCTCTGCTGTCGGAAGTCCTGAGGACAAGTGTAAGGCTGCCTGCCTGTGTGCAGATGCATATAGTTGCACAAAGAACCAGGGTTGGCCAGGCAGCATCCGCAAATGGCACACTGGCATCCCTTGGGATGAGGGGAACCTTGAAGCTCTCCTCTGTGCTGCAGCTCTTTCCACACTCTGTGCACAGGAAGGGTTTGTGGCCAGCACCACAAATGGTCAAAGCGGTGCTTCTTGAGGTGGCAGAGCTGCAGGAAGGCTTTGCCACACTCCCCGCAGTGGTACCTGCGCTTGATCACCTCCTTCTGGGACAGAGCTTCTGGCAGTGGGCTTGGGCTGCCAGAAGGACCTTCTGCCAGCTCCCTCCAGCTCTCTGTTCCACAGGCTCCTCCAGTGGGCCCTTCTTCCCACGCTCTGTGAACGCCAATTTAGAGACTTTGGAAGTGTTGCTTTCTTTTCTGCAAGTATCTGCACTCTGCTCTTCAGGACTGGGCTGCTGGGGCTCCTGTGCGAACAGTGATGCTGTTCTCCCACACGCCCACGCAAGCACCGAGTTGAACCCCACTTGAGGATAACGACAGACTCAGGTCTGAATGCGCCTCTTTTTGCCCCATCTCCACTTTTTCTGCTGCGGATTCACGACCCACACCCTTGTCCAGCTCTTCCCTGCCCTGCCGCTGGTTTCGATCTTTCAGAGGGCCGCGAGGCGCTCATTCTCGGCCCTCGGCACTTCGGCTTGCCACGGCTCACGTCTGGGAGAAGCGCTTTCCTCTCCCGGCAGCCTACGGAAGCGCTTGGCGGCCGGCCTCCTCGTCGGGGCGCCCCGCCGCTCACCTCCGCCAGCCGCGGCCCACGGCCGGCAGCGCCCGGCCCACGCACACCGCCAGCGCCGCGCAGACGGCAGGCGCCGAGGCTGCGAGGCCGGGCCCGCGGCCCTCCACGGCGGCGGAACCGTGCGAGGCGGCGACGGGCGCGGCCGGACGGCGTCCCGCGAGGGCGGAGCGGCGTTTCCCCGGCGACGGGCAGCGCTTCCGGCGGGAGGCGGATGCCGGAGGGGCCTGGCGGGCGGGCCGGGCCGGACCGGGCCGGGAGGGGACCGCAGGTACCGGCGGCGGAGGGGGGCGGGCGACGCGGCTGGGCTCGGAGCGCCGAGCCCTGAGGCCGGGTGTAAGCGGGCCTGTCCTGCGCGGGAGGCGGCGGGGCCGGGCCGCTGGGGAGGGGGAGGTGCCGGAGGGCCGGGCGGGAAGCGGCCCCGCTCGGGCGCCTGAGCCGGGCTCCTTGCGTGGCCGTGTGTCCGGGGCGAGTCGTCCCGGGGCTTTGTCGTGTGGGGCCCGGGAACGCCTGAGGTGTGCTGCTGGGTGACTTCTGCTTTGCGGCGGGGAGAGGAGCCCTCCTTCCCGCGGGGCCGTACCGAGTGAGAGTTGTTGCTTCTGACCCTTTCGTTACTGCCGTGCGTTACCGAGCCGTGTGCGCCGCGAAGGCTGCAGCGCGGTGCAGGAGTTTGGTTGATGTGTGCGGAAAGGCAGAAGTTTCTGCAATTGAAGTGAAAGCGGCGGGAGCTGCGGGTGGCGGCGGGGGGGGATGTTGTCTAAGGAGTGCCCCGCTCGGAATCTGTGCGAAGGTTGCGTTGTAGAGGGCTGAGGTTTCCCTCCTGCAGAACGTGCTGTTCTGCATCGCATCTCTGCTAGCAAAAAAAAAAGTCTTTTTTTGGGGGGCTGGAGAGCAAAGCACGCGGCTTAGCGAGTGCTGAGAGCTCTCGGAGAGGAGCAGAAAGCGCTTGGGAAGAATAGAAGCAGTTGGCTCTTTAGAGAAGTGCTTCTGGTTCCAAAGTGTGATTCTTTTGCTTTGAAATGTTTAAGCAGGCTTTTAACTTTTTAAATCTGGGAACGTAATTGTCCTTGCATTGTAATTGGCCGTGCAGGGTGTATGGTTTGCATCTCGTCATGATAATTATCCACTGAATGTGATGTTCTTAGATTGTGTTACCTCTGGTGAGGTGCTGTTCTCTGACAGCCGTTTCGCCCTTATTCTGATGCAGGATGGACGTCCTGGACAGGTCCTGCTTATGGCTCTTTTCGGGGAGATGGAAAAAATCGCGTGCAGCCACGCTGTCAGAAAATGAAGTGTGTAGACTTGTGAGGACCTTAGCATTAGAGCTGTCCTGGTTTCAGTTCCACGTTTAGTTTCTTATCTCCCAGCTCTCACCTCCGGGTCTCCTTCTCAGTGCCCACCGTTTCCTGGACATTTAGAGCATTATGTTTTTCTGAATTGCTATGATGTGAGAGACTTTGTGCTTCTGTCTTTTGCACCAGTGGGAAAAGGCAGGGCAAATTCTGCAGAAAGCCCTTTGAAGCTCTCTGGGACCTACAGTCTGATTCACAAGCAGAACCTGAAATCTAAGAGGTCTTCTCTGAGTTCTCCTGCCATTAACTGCCATGAGGCAATAACCTAGAGTTGAGAAACAGAGCTGCCGACCTGCCAGTGAACAGCACAAGCAGATACCTGGGGAGCCTGCTCTGACTTCCAAGGGGGAAAGCAGGTTTGGGCAGGAGGGAACCCACTGGTCTCTGCCCAGTGTGGAACTCTAGACATCCCACTGGTGACCTTCTTCCTCATGGTGCCACACTAGCATTAATTCTAGAAGCGTGCCAAAGAGGAATTCTGCCAGTGCTGTCAAATAACCAACATTTATGGCCCTGATGATGTGCTGCCAGTTGTCTCTGGAGCCAAGTTGTGGTCCTTGTAGTGAGAAGTAGGGAAACTTGGTGTCTTGCTCTGTGGCAATACTATCGCTCTTCTGTAGGAAGGTTTGGATTTGGTCTTTGAGAGCATCAAAATTGCTCAGGGGACACTGTTGTATGGGGCATCTCAAGAGCTTGGTGTAGAAGGCATCTCCCTGGGTCAGCGGATGGTAGCAGCTGAAGGTAGGTAAGGCTTCTGCCCACTGGAGTGAGGAGTGCTTGGGAGCTGCGTACACTTTGCATGCCCTGCATGGGGCTGGGCGGTGGGGCTGCTGAGCTGTTGCGGGAATGCTTTCAGCTCACTGAGTCATAGGAATCGGTGCCTGGCGTTACCATAGAAATCAGAGCAGTTGCTAGGGGTGGGGAGTTGCTTGTCATTTGGCCCTGTTGCTGCGTGGTTCTGGCATGAGCTCATGGTTCAGAAGAACCTGATTTCTTGCTCTCTGTTCCTCTGGGAGCAGAGAGGTCAGGCAGCTCTCTGTCCTTGTGAGAGGGCAGGGAATGGCCTTGCTTGGGCCTCTGTTTGACTGCAGTGGTCAGACCCTGCGTGTTTGCCATACAGCCTTGACCATCCACTGCCCAGATGCATCTTGCTCTTTCATATTTCAGGAATCTAATTTCATTTGCTTAGCAAGGCCCCTTGCCCTGTGGGAAGTGAAAACTGGTTGTAAACTGGTGAGTAAGAGATAAGGAACGACAGGAGGTAAGCTTTTGTAGTAATCTAGGGGGAGGGGACAAATGGTAACTGTTCCATTTTCTTTTCTCTCAAAATACACCAAGCTTGCTCTTGAGTGTTGCCCTGAACATGGCTGTGACACCTTCCAGTGCTTGGTCTCTTGCAGGTCGTGTCCTCAGGGCTTGATCGTTTTCTCTGGATAGATACACAGTCAAGCTCTAGGGATGGAAGATGCAATATATTGTTGCCCCCTTCATTCTGCTAAAGGAAATAGGTTTACTGTGATTATCTTCTTTCCACACAAAGGCAGTGTACCTCCTCAGATAATCTTTTAGCTCCCCTTGTAAGGCAAAACAAGCAGAAGCCTGTCAGAGCAGCAGTGTTACAGGGAATCTTGCTGATGCAGGGTGTCATTTTGTGTTCCTACAGTTCCTCTTGGCTTGCTGCCTGTTGGCTGTTGAATTACTGTCCATGTGGTGATGCTAACTTAGGTCTGTTTGAGCAGTCCAGGTCAGCATATCTGTCCTGTCCTGAGTTTCTTTGCTAGTTTCCAGCAGACTGACATTAGTGGGTGACAGTTGTTTCTTGGAGGTCGTCCTTGAGGATCAATGTCCTTAGGAGGTGCCCTTTGTTATGCTACCTCACTTCTGGGTTTGACAAACTGCTGCTTCAAGTGAGGGTGAGAAATATTTGCAAGAGCAAACACAGTTGTTTGTTTCTTGGACGCCCTTAACTCCTTGTTAGTATCTATCCTTAGTAGTATGGCAGTATTGGTAGTATTGGTGAAAAATACTCATTCTATTAATAGGGCTTTAAATTGAAGCAATGATTTCTGTACTTTTACAATTCTTCAGCAGAAGTATTTGCTGGGTGATGCTGAAAGGAGATTAGGGTTTTATGTGTATTGTTCTCTCTGTCTTACTAGCCTACAGAATCCTGCTTTAAGAAGCTCTGAGCTGTTTGCTTCTATGAGCAGATCCCAGCACACTGAAGCACCCGCTTTGGTGTTGCTGAGAGCTCTGACCCTCCCTCATGGGGAGAAGGGAGGTGATTCCTGGGAAAGCTTCCAGTGCTGGGCCAGCTATGGAAACAGCTGGGCTTTGTGCCAGCTTGTCAGAGGGAGGGGAGCTCTTAGCTGCAGTGAGTGTATTGGGCAGAGGCTGGCATAGCCTGTTGCCTTCCTCGGCATCTTGCTGCTGCTCTGGTTTGAGTAGAGAAACTAATTTGGACACAGCTGTGGTCAAACAGCCTCACTGAGAGGGTTGGTGTAGGCTCCTGATGTGCTTTTGATAGCAACTGACACAAAAGAATCTGACATATGTCAGCACTCCTGGCTTGGAGGAGGAGGAGGAGGGGGAGGGGAACATGGTCTCTGGATAGGTAAAAATAAAGCAGGCTTTGGGAAAAATCAATGAGGAGAGTTTTTTGAGGATGGAAACTGTGATTTCTGTGTCTCACCTAGTGATTTCTGCAGACTTTGTTCTAGACGCTGCTAAATAAATTGCAATACTTGGAGACCATGGCTGCAGACCCACTCTCAGAGCTTCAGGATGACCTGAACTTGGACGATACCAACCAGTCCCTCAGCCAACTCAAACTGGCCTCCATAGATGATAAGAACTGGCCGGCAGATGAAGACCCTGCTTTTCCCAAATCAGGTCAGTATCCTTCTTGTTTGGGGTCTGGGTTTAGGCCTAATTAGAGCTGTTTCTCCTGCAACACTGTGGTCATATCTACATATGTAGAAAGTCCCAGCTTGTCCTGAAAACTTTATAGGTGCATTTCTGTTGCATCACACCCAAGTGGATTAGCTCTTCCATTGAACAGTGCAAAAAGTTCAAAGCCAGGTGATGTAAATATACTCTTCTCAGTTATGGCACCAACTGTACTTTAGTGGTAGCAGCATAGGCACACTGTAAAGCCTGAAATATCCTCTCTTACTGTCTCTCGCAGAATAGTTTGATCTGCCTGGGTGGAGTGGTCTTGAACTTCCATGTGGGAGATAGGTCTGGAAAACTGGGCTTTAAAAGCCTGTACGGATCCATACAATTACTGTGTAGTGAACTGTTGCCCAAGGAGATCAGGGAAACTAGCTCAGACATCCAGATCCATTCTTTTAAGTGGTTATTCCATATGTTTTGTGCAGAGGACTCCAAAGGCTCCCCTGAGGCTGTCACTCACCTGCGGTGGGACGATCCCTACTACGATATCGCCAGGCACCACATTGTGGAAGTAGCAGGTAATGGCCTTTTCTATGTTTTCTCCTTTGATATCTTTGCAACTGGGCTGAGGAAGGCTCTTTTCTAATATAGTGGTGGGAGCATGTGTCGCTCTCACGTGGCAATGACAGCTGGCATCATAAAGAAAAGGAGCATCAAACTTCTTGACTGTTTGCAATAAGTTTTAATTTTCCATTGACCTTGGTTAAACTCGCATTCTTTCTCATCTGTTGATGTCTTGATTATATTATTAGTGGGACTTGGTTGCTTTTGCTGAATTGTTTTAGGTGTGGCCTTGAGCACAGGATGTGGATTCTATGTGATAGTGTCAGACAAACTACATAGTTATGCAGCACAGTTGTGAGCTTCCTCAGCTGACTGAGTAGGTATGGAAGCTCTACTGTATCTGAATGGCCAGGGCTTGCCATCCTGTCCATACGTGGCATATTTTAGAGAGCTGAAAAATGGGGAAGAGGCCCGAGGCCCACTGTAAGTAAGGAGGTGATCACTCAGAGTCACAAGCATTCTGATTTCTTCTGTACAGTTGTCTTACTAGTATTATTTTAATTGCACTAACCCTCGGTAGTTTCCTACTGGGGCCTCCATGAGAAAGACAGCTGGAGATAGTTTTCCGTTTGCTACGGTAAGTCTGAGAGAAGGATCATTCTAGTTTGTCTTGCATTCCTTGTTTAAGAAAAAAAGCCTTTTCAACCTGTTGGGACTTGACACACTTCCTGCTTGACCAACTGTAGCCACCTCATCCCCTTTCTCTTGCTATTTCTCTGTACCTTGGTTCTTGCCCCAAATATGAATTTGCAGAGAAGCAGAGGCACAAGCTGGAGTTTTCCTGATCAAGGGTTGTTCTGCAGAAGGGCTTGATCAGAGGGGAAATATCTGTGGGCAGCTTACCTTGGCATGTGTTGTCCGGATATCAGTCTTTCTTGAGCTGTCATTAGAATGAGGTTTCTTTCCATTGTCCTCTCATGTTACAAAGGATAATGGCCAACTTAAAACCTCACCCTTCTTTGTTTCCCTTTGTGTCTTTGTTGCTGAATGACAGGCATTTAGCGTTGGAGCCATTGTGTCTTCCAGTTTTTCTACAAGTGCTTTGATTTGCAGATATGTTAGTAACCCTTTCCATGGGCTGGCTTTTCAGGGCTGGAGTTAATATGAATCTGCACTAATCTTCCTGCTGCTGAAATTGGGAAGGAACAGATGTGTGGACTAATGCCATTCCACTGGTAGAGGCTGGAACATAATGATAGAAGAAACTGTGTCTAAACTCTGGGAGCTAGTGAGTTAAATAATACTGTTGTTCACCCCAGACAAAACCCAAGAGCTTAGCAGAGTGCTTAGATCACAGACGTTGATAAGACTGGAATGTCATCAGCTCAGAGAAGGATACACTTCGTGGGCTGCCTCCTGATATGAGCACCAGTCTTTCTGTGGGATTTCTTTTCTAAGGTAACGACACAGTGGTTGTTTTACAAGCGCTGTGAATGGAGTGTCACTGCGAGGGAGATGCATCTCAGTGCTGTTGGAAAGCAGCCATTTGTCACAGATGTCTAGCACAGTGCACAAAGAATTTCCTCACTTTCTGGAAGGGCTTTGGGGAGCTATGATGGCTGCCTGGGAGGTGAGCTTGCTTTCTCAAGGAGCCCTCTTCTCCACCATGGTTTGAATTTTGTTTCTAGTGAGTTCTCTGGCTTTGTGTGATAGTTTTCCCCACAAAATGTGGTGCAGTCCCTTAATTAAGTAAAGAAACACAGCTCTGGGTAAGGGATTTGCTGGCCCCTGGTTTGTGAGACTCACTGCTGTCTTATCTCCTGGAAGTGGAAACTATAAAGTGGATCAAAGGGTCTGGAATTATAATCTGGGTTTGAGGTGAAGCAGTTTGTTCAGTTTTCTTGATCGGTATTTAATAACATTACGCTGTCTGATTTTCTGAACTGTTAATGTTCTTTGGCTGTCACTGGAAGTGAGCAGGCTAGGAAAATCTGGAAAAATCCATTCAGAAGTAGCCGAGGAGTCAAAAAATCTTACTGGAGGATTGAAATGGAACAGTTTGGTTCTGGCTGTACTGACAAGTTGTGCTTGTCAGCACTTTTAGCTGCAGTGAACATTTGCCGTGAAACCAAGTGGCTCCACCCCAGTTCTCTTGTAAATATTGGCAAATGGCAGCAGATGAAGAGTAGTTTTATCCATTCTGGTTTTTTATTAGCTCTCTCTTCTGTGTCCTTTGCTGTTTTACACTGTAGAGTAGAGAGCTTATGGCTAATTCTGTTTGTGCTTTCCCCGAAATGTATTCTGGGTGCTGATGCTATTTTGAGACAAGAGCAGAAGGCTGGTTCCCATTCTCAGGCTGAGATCCCAGGGTTATCCTGTGTGGTCAGAGCAGTAATTGCTTATTGCAGGATGATGCACAATGTTCATAAACAATACAAAAATACTGTTTTGAACCCACTCATTTTCTAGCTGACTTTAATTTATGACTCAGTGCAAGTCATGCTGCATTTGAATATCATAACTATCTGGCCTTAAGGGGAAGAAAATGGCTCATAAACATTTTGCAGAGTTTGCCAGAAAAATGTGGTGTTTTTTTTCTGTGCTTCAAAATAGTGCAGCAGTTCCATGGAAGGTCCCTTTGTGCTCTGTGCTCCTATCTCTTCTTGGGGGCTGGGATCTTCCTTGGAAGAGGCTGTTTGTTGCCCTGGAAGTTGCTGGCATGGCGTTGCTGTCCCTAGAGGTGATGTGTCACAGGAAGACAGAGCAAAAGGCTTCCAGACCATGGTTCCAAGGGATTGCAATGACACAGTTATGAATCTGTGAATATTTTAGTTTTGGGAAAGCTTCTGTTGGTTCTGGGATATAGTGCTTTTCTGAAAGAAAGAGTTGATATTCTTTGCCTGTCCTTACAAACTTCAGCCTTCAGGTGTCTGTTTCTGGAGCATCTTAGGGAGGCCATGGAGAGGACTGCATGTGGTTGTGCTCTTGTTGATTTTGAGTTGCCCTTTTTGCAAGCGGATAAATTTGTCTTTGCATGTGGCTAAAAGTTGGAGTGGAGGTGGCTCGGTTTCACTGCACAAACCACTTCTGCAAAGTGTGGTTTTTTCCTTACATCACACAGCGCTGGGAGGAAGCACAGGCTTCTGGTTGAAGGCTGTTGATGAGCTATCCCAAACTTCTGTTCAGAGTTTTTGTTTCCTAATGCAAATTCTTCTATGGGAGAGGTTCTGCTTCCATCTGCTTAAGACTGAGGCAAACTAGTGTGATGTAATCTTGGCTTTGAATTTCAGCAAAAGCTGAATTGCACGAATATGGCAGATAGTTAATAAGAGTCTGAAGGTGTTCCTACTTGAAATCTGGGATGTGTGGGAAGAGCAGGTCTCTTGATTGTTCTCTTCTATCGTGTTCCTTCCTTGTTCTTCCATCCAGTCAGAAGTACTGGTCTGCCACCTTTGCAGTCAATTGGCAAACCTGTATGAGGTTCATCAGCATTCCCATTTTTTCACAAAAACTGCTTTCTTCCTTTTGCAAAAGGAAGACTGGAGCTTAACATGGAGTTGGCAGATGAATTTTCTGCTGGTCTAGAGCTGGAGATGATGTAGCAGTTGTCAGGAGACTGGCCATTGCTATCAGCTGCATAGTCTCTACCTGATAACCTCAAGGCCTTACGGAAGCTTAGTGCATGTATTTGCTAGGCTTGTGAGAAATCTGCTTCCTCACACCGTTAAATTGGTAACCACAGACTGTGTCCTTGCAGAGAAGGCTTGATGCTAATATGTAGTAAGACCTGCTGTTGAGGTGTAGAATCACAGAATCACACAGAATTGCCAGGGTTGGAAGGGACCTCAAGGATCATGAATCTCCAACCCCCCT